TGAATCCAGGTTCTAAGATTTTAAATGGAGAAAAATCTTTACACTTGTACCAAAATATTACCTGACCCGGGCGTAGTTAGAAAGCCCTCCCATACATATCGCTTCATTTACTCCTCATGATAAGCCTATGAGAGATATGCACTTAACCCCACCACATAGCTAAGTGTCTGGGTTTCTCAGAGATTTTGGACACATAATCATTTTAAGGTATATTGTATCAAACCACATCCCCACCCTTTGCACCCCTGCTTGAAATTCCTCCATGGTTTCTTGCTATAGCCAGGTCAAAAACCACGTTCCCTACTTGGCTCATAAACTGGCCTCACAACCCTTCCTCTTGCCACTCCTCGCTCATGCCCCCGTCTCCAGCCACACTGACTAGAGACTTGCAGAACTCAGATTTTCACTGCCCTCGCCTTTGCACATGCCTTTCCTTCTTCCTGGAACTCCTTTCACCCCACGTCTTCTCTCTCTCCTGGCTGACTTGCTCGCTTTCAAGGTTTCTTCCTCTAGGAAACCCTCTCCAGTCTCTAAAGATCTGGAGGCTCAACTAATGTTTAGGTTCAAATACTGCCCCAGCATTTACTAGCTGGGATACTTTAGACAACCTTCATAACCTGTCTATGTCTTTATTTCTTTAGCCATAATATAGTTCCTACATTATATGCCTGTGTAGTGACACCCAGCAAATGTTTGATGTTGTCTATTATTATTATTTATTTATTTATAGACAGAGTCTCAAGCTGTCACCCTGGGTAGAGTGCTGTGGCTTCACAGCTCACAGCAACCTCAAACTCTTGGGCTTAAGCAATTCCCTTGCCTTAGCCTCCCAAGTAGCTGGGACTACAGGCGCCTGCCACAACACCTGGCTATTTTTTTTGTTGTTGCAGTTATCATTGTTGTCTTAGCTGGCCCAGGCTGGGTGCAAACCTGCCAGCCTGGGTACATGTGGCCGGCACCCTACCCACTGAGCCATGAGTGCTGCCTGGTATTTTTTTTTTGAAGACAAGAATCTCACTCTGTCATTCAGGCTAGAGTGTCATGGCCTCAACCTAGCTCAAAGCAACCTCGAACTACTGGGTTCAAGTGATCTTCCTGTCTCAGCCTCCCAAGTAGCTAAGACCACAGGTGCCTGCCATAACACCTGACTAGGACTTGTTTTTCCATTTTTAGTAGAGACAGGGTCTTGCTCTTGCTCGGGCTGGCCTTGAAATCCTGACCTCAATCAGTCTGTTTGCTTGGCCTCCCTGAGTGCTAGGATTACAGGTGTGAGCCACTATATCAGGCCAATGTTGTCTATTGTTATTCTGTGTGTCCCAGGTACACCCATCTTGTGGCACATTCCCTGATGACTTTTCTGTCTCCATGAGTCTGTAAGTTCCCTGACAGCCTGACAGCAGAGACTGACTTGTTCACCTTGTATGTATCTCAGTACCAATAGGTGCTTTGTAATATTTGCTGAATTGAATCAAAGTGGTTTTCTTTGAACTTCCTGATTATTTATTAGTGCATCTTTATTATTCATAGAAAACTACCTCCAGACCAACATTGACTAACTTATATGTACTTACCAAAACTGAGAGGTTTCAGGCCCTCAGTAACAACCTATCAATAGACAGTGGCATTAGCATGACAAGACCTACACCAATGACCAGAGTTCAGGTCTAAATCTATGGATAAACTCCCAAAGCCTCTCAACTTTCTGAGCCTCAGTTTCCTCATGGGGGGGTGGCTGGAGAGAGAAGACTAACCTCATAGGACTGTTTGGAGGCTTAAGTGAGAGATACAATATGTAGAAATACAATATAAAGAGTGAAATCCCGGCTCAGCA